AGGCTGCAAAAACGTAGATGCTGAAAGTGCACGTGATCCTACAGGAATTTAATGAATGTGGCATCTTGGGGCCCTCTTGCGAGTGCTCTGGCAGGCCTCTTTGGACGTCTCGGAGCCTTCTTTGACCGTCTCGGGGCCATCTTGGGCCGTCTTGGGCGACTCGGGGCCTTCTTCGGCCTTCTCGGGGCCCGTTTTGGGGCTAACTTGGGCCGTGTTGTGCAGCCCTTGGGCCGTCTTGGCCCCCTCTTGGACTGTCTTGAGGGCCTCTTGGGACTGTTTGAAGTTGTGTATCTCTGAGGGGCCAGCACTAGCTCGAGGCCAGAAACGCACCACACTCGACGCCCACACTCGCCGAACACACTCGCGCCCACACTCCATGCCGACACTCGCACTCCATACTCGCCTCTCACACTCGCGCCCACATTCCACGCCCAGTCTACGCAGACTCTCGCACCCCACACTCTACGACCACACCCGCACTCCACACGCACACCCCACACTCTACGCCCACACCCGCACCCCACACGCACACCCCACACTCTACGCCCACAGTCTACGCACACACTCGCACCCCACACTCACACCCCACACCAACCCCGAGTTGATTTACCGACTTGATTAGACGAGTTGATTGCCCGAGTTGATTTACAGAGTTGATTTACCGAATTGGTTTACAGAGTTGATTTGCCGACTTGATTTCCCGAGTTGATTTGCCGAGTTGGTTTACAGACTTACCGAATTGAGCTACAGAGATGGTTTGCCGAGTTGCTTTACACAATTGAATTACAGAATTGATTTACAGAGTTGATTTGCCGAATCGATTTCCCGAATTGATGTGTGGAGTTGGCTTGTACGGAACGCTGAGATGGCGAGTTGAATTGGCGTTGACTTCTTGGGATTTGAATTACCATTCCAACTGCGAAGTGTGAGTTGGTTCCCCGAGTTGATTTCCCGAATTGACTTCCCAGGTTGATGTCCCGAGGTGGTTCGCCGATTTGATTTCCCGAGTTGATTTGCCGATTTGGTTTATAGACTTGATTTAGAGAGTTGATTTAGAGTTGATTTCGCGGGGCGGCCTGCCGAGTTGAGTTCGCAAGTTGATATGCCAAGTTGAGTTGCCGCCTTGGTTTTGCGATTGGAGGTGCCGAATGGATTTCGCGAGTTGGTTGTCCGAGCTGAATCCTCGAGTGCGAAAGGCGAATTGACCGTGGGGTGGGCGTCCCCGACTTAGTGCGCCGACTTGACCCGCGTCTCGCGCTCGTGTCGTGTGGGCGCAAAGCGTGGGGGGTGAGTGTGGGCGCGAGTGCGGGGCGCGAGTATGTAGTGTGAGTGTGGGCGCACAGTGCGGGGGGCGATTGCGAGGGCGAGTACGGGGTGCGAGTGCGAAGTGCGAGTATGCAGTGCGAGTTTGGGCGCCGAGTGCGAGGGGCGGCCGTGCGCCCCGAAATGGCTGCTAGCTAGAAAGGCACGATCGCTGCCCCACAGACATACACAAGTTTGAAGCACTCTTGGGCAAGTCTTCGGAGCTTTTTGGGCCGTCTTCAAACCCCTGAAGGCCGAAGCGTTTCCCAATGGGAATTTAACGATTTTGGCTGTTGGAGCCCTCTTGGGAGTGCTTTGGCAAGCCTCTTGGGACGTCTCGGAGCCTTCTAAGACCATCTCGGGGCCATCTTGGACCGTCTTGGGCGACTCTGGGCCTTCTTGGGCCGTCTTGGGCGCCGTCTTGAGGCCAACTTGGGCCGTTTTGGGCGCCCCTTGGGCCGCCCAGGCGCCCTCTGGGGATCATGGCGCCCGTTTTGGGCCCCTTTGGTCCGCCTTGGGGGCCTCATGGGATCCTCCGGGGCCGTCTTGGGGGAAAATTGTGAGCCTCTTGGACCGTCTTCACAGCCGTGAAAGCTGCAAAGGCGCACATGCTAAAAATGTACGTTTTCCTCTTGAGGCCCTCTTGGGAGTGCTCTGGGAGCCTTCTTGGAGCGTCTTGAAGCCTTTTTGGGCCGTACTGGGCAACTCGAGGCCTTCTTGCGCCGTCTTGGGGGCCTCTTGGAACCATCTTGGCTCGTTTAGGCACCCTCTCGGCCTCTCCGGGCCGCCTCTGGAGAGCGAAACGGGAGGGCATCAGCGAGCGTATTAGAATTGTTGCGGGCTGGGCCGGCCCAGGCCAGGGGGTGGCGATTCATGAATCTGTGTATATACATGCATAGATACATACCTATATATATATATATATATATATATATATATATATATATATGTATGTATGTATGTATGTAATGTATGGATATATGTGTAGATACAAAGACTGGAACCCTCTTGTGATTTTGTGGGGGGCCTCGTCCGGCCGCTCGCTGGGAGTTTGACGTAGCTTCTCGAAAGCCTCTGAACCTGTCGGGGGCCTCCTGGAAGCAGGTTCGAAGCATTTTGTGGGCCGATTTGGGGCTTCTCGGGGCCTCCTTTGGGCCTCTTGGGGGTCTCCTGGGGCCTCTTGAGGGGCCTCCTTGGGGCCTCCTGGCGGCCTCTTGGGGCGGAAGGCTCGAGCTTGCGGTTCGTGGTCCCCCTCTGGGCCCCCTCTTGGGCCCGTCTTGGGGCCCTCTTGGGCCATCTTGGGCGCCTCTTGGGCCGTCTTGGGGCCCTCTTGGGCTGTCCTGGGGCCCTCTTGGGGCGGTCTTGGGCGCCTCTTGGTCCGTCTTGGACGCGGTGAAAGCCCAAGAGGCGAACATGCGAAACATATACGTTTTCCAATAGGAGTGGCACGATTTTTGCTTCTTGGGCCTCTCTTGGGCTGCCTCTCGGAGCGTCTTGGAGGCTTCTGGGACCTTCTTGGTGTCATGACAGGCGTCTTGGAAGGCATCTGGAGCCATCGGAGCGCGTTCCGAAGCCGCCTGCGAACGATCTTGGACGGGGGCGGAAGGCTCGAGCTTGCGGTTCGTGGTCCCCCTCTGGGCCCCCTCTTGGGCCCGTCTTGGGGCCCTCTTGGGCCATCTTGGGCGCCTCTTGGGCCGTCTTGGGGCCCTCTTGGGCTGTCCTGGGGCCCTCTTGGAAGCTTCTTGGGCCGTCTTGGGGCGGTCTTGGGCGCCTCTTGGGCCGTCCTGTAACGTCGGAAAGCCCAAAAGACAACTTTGTTGAACATGTACGTTTTACGAAGGGAATGGGCCAACTTTTGCGTCTGGGGGCCCTCTTGGGACGCATGTTGGAGGCTTCTTGGGGCCTCTTGGGGGCGTCCTTGGACGTCTGGGGTCTCCTGGGGCCTCTTGAGGGGCCTCCTGGGGGCCTCCTGGCGGCCTCTTGGGGCGGAAGGCTCGAGCTTGCGGTTCGTGGTCCCCCTCTGGGCCCCCTCTTGGGCCCGTCTTGGGGCCCTCTTGGGCCATCTTGGGCGCCTCTTGGGCCGTCTTGGGGCCCTCTTGGGCTGTCCTGGGGCCCTCTTGGAAGCTTCTTGGGCCGTCTTGGGGCGGTCTTGGGCGCCTCTTGGGCCGTCCTGTAACGTCGGAAAGCCCAAAAGACAACTTTGTTGAAAATGTACGTTTTACGAAAGGAATGGGCCAATGTTTGCGTCTAGGGGCCCTCTTGGGACGCATGTTGGAGGCTTCTTGGGGCCTCTTGGGGGCGTCCTTGGACGTCTGGGGTCTCCTGGGGCCTCTTGAGGGGCCTCCTGGGGGCCTCCTGGCGGCCTCTTGGGGCGGAAGGCTCGAGCTTGCGGTTCGTGGTCCCCCTCTGGGCCCCCTCTTGGGCCCGTCTTGGGGCCCTCTTGGGCCATCTTGGGCGCCTCTTGGGCCGTCTTGGGGCCCTCTTGGGCTGTCCTGGGGCCCTCTGGGAAACTTCTTGGGCGGTCTTGGGGCGGTCTTGGGCGCCTCTTGGGCCGTCCTGTAACGTCGGAAAGCCCAAAAGGCGACTTTGTTAAAAATGCACGTTTTACGGAAGGAATGGGCCAATTCTTGCGTCTAGGGGCCCTCTTGGGACGCATGTTGGAGGCTTCTTGGGGCCTCTTGGGGGCGTCCTTGGACGTCTGGGGTCTCCTGGGGCCTCTTGAGGGGCCTCCTTGGGGCCTCCTGGCGGCCTCTTGGGGCGGAAGGCTCGAGCTTGCGGTTCGTGGTCCCCCTCTGGGCCCCCTCTTGAGCCCGTCTTGGGGCCCTCTTGGGCCATCTTGGGCGCCTCTTGGGCCGTTTGGGGCCCTCTTGGGCTGTCCTGGGGCACTCTTGGGAGCTTCTTGGGCCGTCTTGGGGCGGTCTTGGGCGCCTCTTGGGCCGTCCTGTAATGTCGGAAAGCCCAAAAGGCAACTTTGTGAAAAATGTACGTTTTACGAAGGGAATGGGCCAATTTTTGCGTCTAGGGGCCCTCTTGGGACGCATGTTGGAGGCTTCTTGGGGCGTCTTGGGGGGCGTCCTTGGACGTCTGGAGGCCATCTTCAGCATCTCGGAGCCCTCTTGGAGGCCTCTTGGAAGTTTCTTGGGCCGTCTTGGGCGTTTCTGGGGCCGTCTTGTCTGACTGGGGAGGCCTCCGGCAAGCCCCGACGAGCCTCCGGGGCCCCCGGGGTGCACATTTGCGGTCGAGGTCCCGGCCCCGGGCCCCCGGACCCGGTGCGCCGTTATATGTATACATGCACCCATACATACGTGCACATACACTTATATACATATATACAGACACACAGACATGCATACAGACATACAGGCACACAAACATACCGCCATACATACATACAGACGTATAAAAGCATAGACATAAAGAACTACCGGCATACGTACATGTTTGCATACATGCATACATAAATTCATACATGCGTAAACATGAATACATACATGCACGCATGCATGCACCATACATACATACATGATTGAATGCATACATACATACATGCATGTATGCAAGCGTGCATTCATACATGCATACATACATACATATATATATATATATATATTACATACATACATAGATGCAGATATCATACCTACATGCGTATATATATAGAGAGAGATACATATAAATATATATCATGACGGTGGTTCCTGCATCTCCCGCAGCCACTCCCCCGAACTGTCCACGAGCGCCAGCTCCTCCTGCCACCCCTGCGCCGGCCCAGCTGGCGGCGTGCCGCGAGGCACGGCGACGGGCAGCTCCCGCTGCCCCGGAGGCCCTTCCTCCCGGGGCGGCTCCTGCAGGGCGGCGAGATCTCTGTACACATCCACCGCCCCTGGCCGGAGGAAGAGGAGCAGGAGGAGGAGGAGGAGGAGGAGGAGGAGGAGGAGGAGGAGGAGGGGCAGGAGGAGGAGGAGGAGGAGGAGGAGGAGGAGGGAGGAGGGACCCAGGAGGAGGAGGAGAGGCAGGAGGAGGAGGAGGGGCCCAGGAGGGGCCCGGCCCGTGGCGGTGGACGCGTACGGAGATCTCGCCCCCCCCGTCCTGCAGCCGCGCCTCCGCGAGGCCGTCCGAGGGCTCCCAGTCGGGGAGCGCAGCCAGCCACGGCGGCGCCTCCGCCAGCTCGGCGCCGGCTCCCTCCGAGGGCGGCTCGGCAAGCGCCGCCCCCGGAGGCGCGGCGCGCGGCGCCCCGCCGCGCTCCGAGCCTCGGCAGGGAGGAGAGGAGGAGGAGGAGGAGGAGGAGGAGGAGGAGCGGAGGCGGAGGCGGAGGAGGAGGAGGGGAGGAGGAGGGAGAGGAGGAGGAGGGAGGAGGAGGAGGAGGGAGGAGGAGGAGGAGGAGGGGATCTAGCGCGTGGGCGCCAGAGTCACGGATCTTAGCGGGCGAAGAGCGCTATAAAACAAACGTTTTCGCTGTCGGGGGGCGCCTGTCCCTGGGCGGCTGGAAAGCTTATACCCTTACGGTGGCACCGTAGGGGTATAAACTTTCCAGCCGCCCAGGGGCAGGTGTCCCCGACGGCGAAAAGTTTATTTTATACCGTTCTTCGCTCGCTGAGAATCGGGAAGGCCCCCCCCCCCGGAAACATGAGACCACTGCCGCCTCGCCTGGCGATGCGGCGCGCCGGCTTCGTAAGGAAACGAGACCCGTCGCTGATCCTGGCCAAGTGCGCAGCCTTAGGGCGGCCGCGTGGGGGTCAAACCCAAGCAGTCCAGGGGCGCCAGCCACTGCTGGGGGAAGCCCTGTGAGCCCGCCAAAGGGTCACACTTACGCGTAGCCGAGTTGTCGCTTCCCGGAAGCCGGTTTTTCATCCTGAAAAGGCCCCTGGAGGCCGAACATACGCAAAAACCTCCCGCGGTGATCGTTTCACAACGCGAGGGGGTCTGAGTGATCAATGTTTTCGCTTCTCGGGGGCGTCCAAGGGGGGGGGAGCCGTCCAAGAGGGAGGTTCGCAAATCATGGCCCGAGGCATGTGCGCGGCCCTAGGGCCTAGGGGGGTGCCACGGAACGCATTGAAAAAAGAAGAGGGGCCATGATATCTGGGGAGATGTCATGGCCCCTGCCATGACATCCAACCCGCTACCCGTCGGTCAGAAGGAGTGGGTGGAAACATGAAGTAGGAAGGCGTTGGAAGTAAATTGGGCTTCCGCCCGCCCCCTGAAGATGAGGGAAGAGGGAAAACCGGTCGACGCTTGAAGTAAGAAGGCGCCTTAAAAAGTAGGCGCCCATTGGCCGCCCCCTTGCTTCCTCGCTGCCTGCTCCCTGGCCAGGCCCACCCGGAACCCAGAAGCGGTCTCTGCGCCACGCCCTCCTGGCCTGGCCAGGAGGGCGTGCACGCAGCTCCTGGGTTCAGGGCGGGCCTGGCCAGCGAGCAGGTGGACACGTGCAGCCCTCGTGGCCGACCCTGGCCCCGGCCCATCGTGCCCGGCCCACCCTGGCCGCCGCCCCCCCCGTGGCCGCCCCCGCGCTCCCTCGGGAGCCGCTGCCGCTGGCGCCCGCCGCCTGGACCGCCCCGGCGCGCGCCCCTGGGCTGGGCGGCCCGCCCGTCGGGCTCGCCGGCCGCTGCTCCTGGGGGGGGGCCAAGCTGGTGCCGATGTACCGCCACCCCTCCGACCGGTCCCCCCCCCCCATCCCTCCTTACTCCCTCCCCTCCCTTCCCCCCCGCCACTCTCTCTCTCTCCCTCTCCCTCCCCTCCCCTCCCCCCACCTCCCCTCCCCTCTCTGCCTCCCCCCCCTCCTCCCTCCCTCATTCCCTCCCTACCTCCCTCCCCCCCACTCTCCTCTCCAGCCCCGCCTCCCTACCCCTCCCCTCCCCTCCCTCCCTCCCTCCCTCCTCTCCTCCCTCCTTCCCTCCTCCCTCCCTCCTCCTCCCTCCCTTCCTCTCCCTCCTCCCTCCCTGCCCCTCCCTCCCTTCCCCTCCCTTCCTCCCCCTCCCCCTGCCCTCTCCCTGCCGCCGCCGTCCCTGCCCCCACCCTCCCCTCAGGCTCTCGAGGCGAACTCAGCCGTGGCGACGAGGGGACAGAGGAGAGAGAACGATGCACACACACACACACACCAAGGATCGGCGTATGCGCATAAATTCTCTTCGCCCGAGGGAAGGGGCAGCGGCATCGGTACCGGTTCCCTCTTCGGAGCTCCACGGCGGCTCGCTCCGCGGCGGCTCCCCCCGAGGCCCGACGCGCGGAGAAGCACGCCCGGAGCCCCAGACCCCACCTCTCCGCGCCACCTCTCGAGCCGCGCCGATGCGCGAGGGCCCCGGGGCCCAAAAAACCGGGCGGAGGCGCCCGTGGCAGGGCGACGGAGTCCATGCGGATCCCTCGGGGATGGACAGACCTCCCTTTAGTAAAACGTGGTTTAGTGAAAACGACCTCGGGCCCAAACCTGGCGGGCGCACGCCTGGAAAATGACGGCCGCGGCGCCCTCTCGAGAACCCAAAGCGGACAATTCACTAATCGACGTGGCAGGGTAGGAGGTCTGTCCACCCCCGAATCCCCTGCTCCCCGGCTGGGCCCATCCTGAACCCAGCAGCGGCGCATACGCCACGCCCTCCTGGCTTGGCCAGGGCGGCGCATGCACAGCCCCTGGCCCATGTGGGCGTGTGTGTACACTCCGTCGCCCGACGTGGTGGAAAAAAAATAGCAGCGCCAGGGTCTCAGAGGAGGGTGCTCAGCAAGAAAAGGGTCCCTGACCCTTTGGGAGTGGACCGAAGTGAGGAGGGCCAGTGAGATCAGGGATAGGGTGTCTTTTCAGCAGATGTGTCAAACCGAACCGCCCAGATGTACGATCCCAATGCGAAGACGGGGACCTGAGTTAGGCCACGTCTTCGCCGTGCCAGAAGGGTCAGGGGTTCCTTTGTGCTCGATGCGAAGAGGAGAGGACTTGGTACCTTTTCCTCTTCGGAGCTCCGCGGCGGCTCCCGCGGGCGGCGGCCGCGCCGACGGCCTCTGCGTCGACGGCCGCCTCGGCCGCTTCGGGGCGCGGTACCGCTCCGCGACAGGCAGCGGCCGGTCGGGCGCGGCCCGCGAGGCGAGGCGCACCCGCTCGGCCCACGGCTCGCCCCGCGCCGGCCAGGAGACCCCGAACGTCACCTGGGCGACGAAAAAAGCGAGACGGGCCGAGACGTCTCGTTCGGGCCCGCGGTCGCAAGAGAGTCGGGCGGCGGTCTACAGCGGCGGGGCGCGCCGGTGCACAGCGGGGCACGAGGGGAAGAGGGCGAGACGGGGCGCGAGGCGTCCGGAGAGGCGGGGGGGCGAGGGAGCCTAGAAACGGGCCGAAGTAGAGGCGACAACGGAGACAAAGCACAGACGCAGAGCTGCACAATGCAAGGCCATGGCTCGGCTCAGCGGCGGCCGTGTACCGAACCGACGACGCGATGGGGCCCGGGCACGGCCCCCGGAGCTTCACAAATCGTGGGCACGTGCGAGTCAGACAGCCGCCAGGCAAACCCGGAACGCCACACAAGCAGACCTGCAGTAAGCAAACTCGCGTAGAGAATCATGGCCTGGGAGAAGGAAACGGGTCTCACGGGAAATTGGGCAGCGACATCCGAGCCCTACCCCCATCAACCATCGATTCTCCTGAATCGATGTAGGGCGGGGGTAGGGTTCGGCTTTCGCCACGCGCTCGACGAGCTCCGAACCCCACCCCTGCCGCCCATCGAGTTGCCTGAAGCGCTGATCGGCGAGGGTAGGGTTCGGATTCCGCCCCCGAGAGATGACACAACGACCCTACGCGGTGACTCACGCGGGCCGCCGGCGCGGCACGCCACATTGGAAACGTGAACGCCTACGCACGACCTTACAGTCGGGGCCCTGAAGAAGGAACCCTTTTGGTTGGGGAGGGGCTCCGCGTTCCTTAAGTGTTTCACAGCTTGCCTCAGGTTTTCCTCATGTTTCCGATAGGAAGTCGAAGTTTAACTTGTGGAAAAAAGGCGCCTCGTTCCTTATTGAGGGTTCCTTAGGTCAACGCCCCGACTGTACGCGGGCAGCTCACGAGACTGTGCCAGTGAAGGCGGCCCCGTTTTTGTCTGCGTCGCTCACCTCGTCGCCCACGCGCAGGGCGGCGGCGTCGCCGGACGGGGCAAAGTGGTAGCGCGCGCGCCCGCGGAAGCAGCCGTCTGGGTTCAGGATGTCGCTCCTGACGACCCCAGAGCCTCCGCAGATCGCCTCCACGACGCCCGTGGGCATCTCTGGCCCGCGCCGAAAGAGAGGCCGAGATGCCGCAAAAAAAACATAATGTGCACGCGGCCCGCGACTCGTAACGGAACAACCGTGGATGATGGTGGCAAGAGTACTGATGGCGACGATGACGACGACGGACGAGGATGCGGCTGAGGAAGAGGAACATGATGGCAGTGATCATGAGGAACAGGATCATGTATCAGAGTATGCACATGTATGTGTATATGTGTAAGGGTGGCTCTGTATATGATGACGATGATGATGATGATGATGATGATGATGATGATGATGATGATGATGATGATGATGATGATGATGATGATGAAGCGAATAACAACGGTGATGATTAGGCTGATGGTGATGGAGAAGACGGTACATTTTGTGAGTGCGATCATTGTGGTGGCGGTGATGAGGAGGACGATGAAGAAGAAGAGGTGAATGACGATCATCAGGACGAGCATGAGCTTGTGAGGGTGCAGATAAGGATATGAAAGAATGATGAAGAGGGTGAAGATGCGGACAGTCAAGAGGGTCAGAATTGGAGTGTGAGTGACGATGGGAATGGCGATGAAGACGGTAATGAGTGTGAGGGTGACGAGGAGGGTAAGTGCGAGGGCCAAGGTAAGGGTGAGGAAGAGGGCGAGGGCGACGGAAAGGGTGATCGTGAGTGTGAGGGTGATGACGACGGCGAGGGCAATGGAAAGAACGAGAGCGCGAGACACGTCGAAGTTGCGGACGACTGATTGCGGAGAAGTCTTTAAAAAATAACGATACTTGAATATAGCCCGATATCCATCCTTGCATGTGATTGGACCTTGACGGCTGAATATGAAACAAGAAATGGAATATAGAATAGTAACTCGATGTTGACATCTGGCCCGCCCATAAAATGTAGGAACAAAACACCGTTTGTGAAGACGGTTCACACGAGAGCGCGATGTTGAAAACGGCATGCCATCCGC